AAAAAAAAAAAACTATTTTGCAGCGGGCCGACATGCCTAGCCCACGGCCCACGACGGGGCTGGGTCGGGCTGCCATCTCACAGGCTCGACGGGTTTTGGCGGGCTGCGGGTCAGCCTGTCCTGTCGGCCCGTTTTGACATGTCTACTCAACAGTCGAAGTAATGTCAAAGAGGCGAGGCTGAAGGATCGGCTTCCCAGGTGTCGTCCATCGGTTATCTTCCTCACGATTCAACAAAATATAGGATCGCTAGTAACTTTGAGGGTTGTGGGCCTGATTGGTATTGTAACTTTGTGGGTTCAATGATACCGGAGATCCCGAATCCACATGGTATGTCGGAAGATGCTATGAATGTGGTTGTATTATAATGATGATTTGTAACAAAAATTTGGAGGCAAAAGTCTCAAGTATGAATGCCTCAGAGCTTCTATAATGGACCACTGCACACATGGCTATGGCGCTGGGGTTGATCATGCATGGGATCGACGAATCACAAGATTTTTCCAATCTACTGAAAACAACTGGAGCTGATCATGGGCGTTGTGGGGATCGTTTGATAATGTTGGCCGAACAACTTGAAGCAACGAAGGAAAAGTACATGAAGACTTATGACGAGATGACGGTCGTCACCGTTAAATCAAACCAGCTTAAAGCGAACTTGGAGGATGTCAAAGCCCGTCATGAGAACCAGTTTAATAAGATGATATTAGAGATAGAAATGAAATGATGAAGAATCATGCGGCAACAGTACAACACTTGAGGGATACGATGTCGAGTGTTCGTTGAGAATTGAATGCCGAGAGGGATGAACCACATAAAGTGGATGAAGCGGGTTCGAAGGCATTTAAGAAAAGTAAAGTAGTCAGCCTAGAGCAGGGCAAAGTGATATAAAGAAGAAGATCAACTCAGTTGAGGGGTACCATATCGAAAAAAATACAAGGGATCGCGGTTGGAAGGACATTGGAAAGTGACAAAGATTTGGACTTCAAGAGCGATGTCTACACCTGCAAAATAGTTTGTCAAGATTTGACCTCCCATGAAGATAGCTAGTTGGACCAAAATGGGGAGGCAATATTGAAGGAAAAGGTTAAGGCCCCTGTTTGGGTGGAGTCGGTCTCTCAAATTGATCTTGGTTAGACCATGGTGTTTTCGGTCTCTTCAGATGACATCATCCATCAACAGAAATCTACAACGTCTCTGAGTCTGAAAAGTTTTGAGCAGTTTGTCTTCTGCATCTAACTATAGATGCTCGGTGCATAGGTTTATTCGTAGATAAATAACTTGTACAATTACGTTGATCCTCATAGATCCCGACGAAACTCATATGTGATATTCTTATCAGAGTCATCCTCAAGCCCCCCCAACTATTTTGAAGTTGTTTTTGTTACTCTAGGACTGACGTCTCCCACCTCTCGACAGTCTTTTCGAGGTTGAGCTGACTAATTCGCTTTCTTGTCGAATGTGGTTAATGTAGAGATTGGTAGAAGATTTTAGAATTTTTTTTTTAATGGTGAGAGGAGGCAAATAGATGATATTTGAAAATAGTGTTGGGAGTTTTTATTTGGGCGAAGTAATGTGATGAAAAGAATTATGCGGAGGGCCGGTCGTGCCACTCTTTTTAACCGGGAATCCAGGGCAAGATGTACCATTGAGGGAGATAATATGTGGTGTTTTGGCTTGCAAATAAGTCTATGATGGGTATGTTTATTTATAGGGAGAGATGTTCGAGCGTTGACCACTATTAATGGGACGGTTTTTTAGTGGTGTATCAAATTGACCGAATGTTAAATAAAGTAAATAAAACAATGTGTGTAAACAAAGGGCTTAGGGGAAGAGGATGCCGATCCCCTTATTCAAAAATTGGAAAAAAAATAAGAAAATATAAAACAAAGAACATGTAAGAGTATTCTTATTGATGAATTTTTTGTTATTATATTGAGAATGGTGTTCGTGAGGCACGAAAGGCCGTATTTATAAATGAAAAAAAATAAAAGTGTAATGATGGCTTCACGTCACTTAAGGGTTTAGGAGATCTAGAGTGCCACGAGTCTTCACGCAAACTCTCAACTTTTGATGATTGAACCGATTGGGCAATTAGTTTATCAGTTAGTTTTGTCGCTTCTTGTTCATACTGCAGAGGGATCGACAACATTCAGAAGGAAGTAATAGATACAAACTGGGTTGTCCTTTTTCTGTAATTCAGGCCCAACTTATAATATGTCAAGGTTTTGTACTTCTTGGCTTTGTGGGCCAACCTAGAACATTTGTGTTTCTTTACGTGTAACACTTACAATGTTAGCAGAGTCGGTCAGGAAAATTACTAGGCCCTGGGCCAAATATAAAAAAATGCCCCTAAGTACCTTTTTTTCCTAAAAATAAAATAAACATTTTGGAAAATACCAACTACAATCCAACATTCTTTTATTATAAAAATAAAATTATAATTTATAGAATATTACAATCTCTCTGACAAAGCTACAAATAATAAAATCTAATAGAAAACTTATCACGCCTATTGGTGATACCCAATTTGACTACGATTAATAACAATACAACACATTAAAATATCATTTGTATTATTTTATTTTATATTAATTGATGTCCATATATTGTGATGTGATATGTATATGTACTAAAGATCCTATCCAAAAAGGGGATTACACAAGATCTTACCTTATAAAAAGATCTCGTAAGAGAGAGAGAGAGGGACAATGTTCTTCTCCCAAAAAAAGATCAATAAAATAAGTTTCTTCTTCATCCTTTT